TAAATTTCAAAATTCTTATTATTTGCTTGTTTTGGTTGTGTTATCATCAATCACCAAAAAGGGGGAGATTGTAAGAAAAATAGACCCTAGGTCCATTTACTTTGGATTTTGGTGTTTAATGACCAACACAACCAAATTGGACTAATGAATTTGTAAGTAATTGCTTTGTAGTTCAATAGGGTGCAAGACGTGACTTAGACGAAGGCGACATGATGATCCGATGATCAACACCTTAAACAAGACCCTACAAGCACAAGAGAAGACCCAAGATATCAAGCATTGTTCAAGCACGAAGATGGGAACCAAACCGGACGTTGAGTGAAGTAGTGACCGGACGCAGAGGATTCAAGTGACCGGACACGATGATGACACTGTTCACTGTCGCGACAATAGCTCAGCACTGACAGGACACTGGAGGGTGATCGACCAGACGTAGGAAGTGCAATGTCCGATCGAGTCTAGAGAGATTCTAGAGCGGCGATAGCACGACCGGACGCGTCCGATCAACGCGTGTGCTCCAACGATCAGGACGACCGAACGTGTCCGGTCAGGACGACAGCGGCGTCCGGTTAGTAGCAGAAAAGTGGGTTTCGTCCCCAACGGCTACTTTTTCAGTGGTGCTTATAAATTGACCCCCCAACTGGCCATTTGAGTAGAGTAGAGCTGAGGAAACATACCAAAAGTGTTGATACACCATTTTAGTTATCTCCACTTGCATAGTGCTTAGTGATTCATTAGGTGATTAGCAAAGGTGCTTTTGTGAAGTGCTTAGGTTGATTAGACCACCGCTTTTGCGCTTGCTCTAGGTTTAGGCCTAGTGTTTAGTGAGGTTTGCATACCTCTTACCACTCGGTGCTTGCGCGCACCATTGTTGTACATCAGAGGGGCTTGTAGTCTTGCAAGATCACACCAACCATGTTTGTGGTGTAGCCATCACCGTGTACCAAAGGGAACAAGGCCTGCGGCGCTTTGACTGGAAGCTTGATAGTGAAGACGGCGGGGAGCGGTCCGGGAGAGGCTTGCTGGAAGGCACACCAGAGATCCACATGCGTGTGGGGAAGGCCCAGGGCTATCCACGGAGTTACCCGACCGTAGCTAGCCCAAAAACGGTGCCCACCTTACCCATGTCGCTGCCCCGCCATGTACTCGGTAAAATGCCCCAATGGGCGACGCGTGTCCGGGACGTGGCGTCCATGCCTGAGCGCCCCCGCACCTCCTTGCCATGTGCCCCAATGGGCGATGGGGATGCTGAGATGCCTGAGCACCCCCTGCCTCGCTCACTCGCTTCTCCACCCTCGCCCTCTGCGCTGCACCCGTGCGCCAGAGCGTGCTCACCATGGCCATCGGCGACCGAGCACCCATGGCCACCGCGGCAAAGCCCCTACCCCATCCACCCTCGCTGCTCAGCACCTCCAACCATCTAAGCACCCAAGCCAGCCCCACGCCCCCGAGCCAGCGAAGCACCGGAAAGCATCGCCGCCGAAGCCATGCCCGTCAGCCGCCGCCTGCTACCACTGCCGAGTGGTTGCTGGCTGCAGCCGGCCAAGCCTAGGGCTAGGTGCGGCCCCAGCTGGCCACTACCAAAGCCTGGTGGGCCCTTCCCTGCCGCCCACAGCGACCTCACCGGTCGGAGCCCGTCAATCCCCTGCGTCTGCGTCGAGAGAAAGAAGAAGTGGGGGGTGAATCGTACATAGAAACTCTTTACTGGGTCTAGTTGCTTAATGCCTAGACACATGCATTTACATATATGGGCTTAGTCAATTAGAAGAAAAGTTTGTGTTCACTTTATAAAAATGTTTTTTCTTTTCTTTTTGGGAATGTTGCAATTATTTAGCTGAAACTTTGGAAAATCATAATAAATTGTAGAAAAATCGTAAAATAGCAAATGAGGACTTTTTGGAATCCTTGTGAGTATATATACAAAGTAGAGTCATAATATGATATATGTTAGTAGAAAGTTTATGATGTTTTTATTTATTCTTATAAAGTGCTTTAAAATGCTTTTAAGTTGGACAGATGCATATCTTGAGTTATGGAAGTCCAAAAATGGTGATTCTAGTTGTGTTAATCTTGGGATGACATGATATAACTAATAAAAATATTAAACATGCTAGTTATGTACTCTTTTTATAATGTTTTGATTTAATCTTGTTAAATAGACAATTTTAGCTTGTTTTGCTTGTTATTCTCATATCTAAAGTTGTGGTGCTCCAATTGTTGTGAAATTCTTATGGTAGGCTACTGATGCTATATGTGTTATGTGGTAAAAATTCCATGTTCATTAGATGTAGTATAGTTGAGTTAGTGATTTGACAAGTTTGCTGTCAGGTTTTGCTTGTCCTCTGGATAGATCTGAATGATTGTATTGTTTGGCTCATTTAAACATGGAATCATGTATTAGTGATAATAAGAGAAGTGTAGTGATTTTCATGAGCTTTCCAAATTGTTAAATATAACCCCTTTTGGTGATCTAAATCTCCAGTTATGAGTTTGTGAAGTAGAGTGACAGATTCTGTCCTAATCTGGACAGAGATGTCTTCTTTGTGATGTTTGACCTGGTTAACTTTGGAATTAGCATGTGGTGTTTATAACAAAGTTGTGAATGGTTTGCTAAGATTTCTAAAAAGTCTAGAACCACCTTGTCGTGAAAGCTAGCACTCAACTTATTGCCGTTTGAAGTTGTATGTCAGATTCTGACCATATTTTGGACAGAATTGTTGCTTTATGTGTTTAAGGCCAAATAACTCTTGAATCACCTAAAGATGATAATAAAAAAGCTATATATAACTTAATAAGATTTCTATAAAGTTAAGGATCATTCTTGTTGGATGGTTAGAACTCCGGTTATACATTTCTTAAGTTAATGTCAGTTTTCTGTCCTTATCGGTAGAAACCTGAGATATTGGCATATTTGATCATATTAACCTGTGAGTTAGCTTTTGGAATGAATAACAAAATTGTAGACAATGTCATTATCTTTCCACAAAGTCTAAGATCACTTTTATCGAATGACTGTAACTCTATTTATGGTTGAAACACGCGACTGCTGTACTGCTGTCCAAATTCTGTGTATACACTTAAGTTGATTACCCATTCTTGATGTTGCTGATGCATGCTCTAAATTATGTAGCCCTAGTTACTTAATTGAATGACTTACTCTGTAGTGCTTAAATCAATATGATGTATCATTCTTCGTATTCATGCACTTGCATCTTGTATCTCATCTAGGTGCGCTAGATGAACCACGTGAAGGAAATGAAGTTCTCGGCCTGATGAAGAGGGTGGCTATCCGTCGGTGGGCTCGATGACTCTATATTTATTTATCATCTATATGCTTTTGTCGGAGAATGCCACTTATGCTAGTAATGTATTTGGAACTTATATTATTGTAATCATTGGAAGCTTTTCACTAATCGGTTTTAGAATCCAAACTTGTACTATTATTTGTGAATCCATTTATAATATTATTTTCGCTGCAACTCTATGCATGTGATGTGTATTTGCTTAATCATACGATCTTGGTTATGATGTTGATTTACCGAGGTCCTTCGTGACACTCGGCGGACTACCGGGTTTATAAAAGTGAAAGTATGCGTGCGTCAACGTGTTAAACGTGGACAGCCATACTTGATCTTGTATAAATTAGATGATTCTGTCACACACTTCACCTAAGGTGAAGGCTTTAATTTTTTTTACTTGAGCTCCTTACATCCTTCTAGCAATCCTCAACTTCGAGTGGGTCCGAGGTCGGATGACCAGTTGAACTAGTCAGACGTCCATTTAAACAGCTCGGCTCCCAGTTAAACTGGTCGGATGCCTTTTCCTGATGATCGGCTACACGTCATACAGCTCGGACAAGCTCGATGTGGCATTGCTCAGCGAATACAAGATGTTCGGAGACAAGCTGTGGGGGTATAACCCCGTATACCCACAGGGCTGTACATGGGCCGAGCCGTCAGGGGGAGGCCCAGCCCACTAGACAACTCCCCGCGCAGCACAGCACAGGTCGCCGTGCGTCGCAAGGCTACGTGAGGATCCTTGGCGATCAAGGACAATCTATTCAGATAAGCTAAGATACCGATCTCTGTAAAGCTTATCATGTAAACCGATTAGGGTTAGATACAATGAATCAGAGATAGGCTCAACCAACCTATGACCCTACCCCCATGCTACATAAGACGGATAGTGACCCCTTGATTTGATCAGATCATAATATACAATTTACCAAGGACACGTGATGTAGGTATTACGTCAAACTGATGGCCTGAACCTGTCTAAATCGCTATCTCTGGATCTTATGTCACCATCTAGTTCGTATCTCGCGCACCTCCACCGATTTATTTACTACCGTGGGCATACCCCTCAGTAGACTGTCGGCCGTATTTCGTTGACAGGATGTTTGTTCCCACAAAGCTAAAGTTTAGCCCATGTTTGGCCTTATTTAAATTTTGGGAACTAAAGTTTAGAGGTGTCACATCAGGTGGCACATGAGGATGTCACATGGGAGTGTTTTCATAGTAATAATAAAATAAATGACACGTCCTCGGTAATCCGGTAAATTAATTTATTAAACCTAATTAATCCATCATTAGCACATAAGTTACTGTAGCACCACATTGTGAAATCATAGACTAATTAGGCTTAAAAAAAATTGTCTCACAAATTAATCACAATCTATCCAATTAGTTATTTTTAATTTATATTTAATACTATATATATATATATATATATATATATATATATATATATATATATATATATATGTGTGTGTGTGTGTTTTTTTGTGTCAACAATCGACTAAAGTTTAGCGGGAATAAACGCACAAATCTGTTTGCCGGACTCAAGTAAACTTTAGAACACGGCAAAACGAACCCGCCCCACCCTCTCCACCGGCGGACTGGACCAAGACCAGACCCCACTCGGGCACTCACGCAGACGCAGCTTTCCCCATCCCCAGCCCACCAGCAACCTCTCCGCCTTCCGCCATCACCGCCGACGCCATGGCCTCCTCTCCCCTCCACCTCTTCCTCCTCCTTCCCCTGCGCCTCCTCTTCCTCCTCCTCCTCCTGCTCGCCGCGGCCAAACCCGTCCTCGAGAACGGTTACACGGTCACCACCTTCGCCGACCTGAACCCGCTCCCGGCCTCTGGGCCGTACCCCTACGCGATCCTCCCGCGGCTCCACGCTGGCGACCTCCTCCTCCTCGACTCCGCCGGATCCGCGCTCTACACCCTCTCCTCCTCCTCCTCCCCGGCGAGCCGCGCAGGCTGGCGAGGGGCAAGCGGGCTCCGGGTTCGACGACGGCGACGCCGCCTTCGACCGCCCGCGCAGCGTCGCCGTCGATGCCGTCGACAACGTCTACGTCGCCGACCAACGCCACGGCGCCGTCCGCAAGGTCGCGCCCTCCGGTGAGCGAGCCCGCCCGCCCCCTCCTCCGTGCTTCCTTTGTTCCCCTGCTAGCGGTCCCTTCGCGCGGTCGTCAGTTAGGGTTTAGGGTTTGGCTGTTTGGTGGATGTGATGCGGGGAGTGTGAGTGAGATGGTGATCGGGACCTTAGTGGCTCATACGACCCATTTATGTTACCTTTGGAATGTTTGTCACAACGCCTCTGCATCGTTTTCGTAGTGAGGTTCGGTTGGGATGTTCATGTCGTTGATTGAAATTTTGCTCACGTGTTCTCACACCAAATTTGAGATGGTAGTTTTTTTTTACTTATCTACAAATAATTTGTAGATGGTATATATATATGTTGAATTTCATGTTTTTTTTTACCCTTAAATTATACTGAGATACTAAATTGGTAAATTCATCAAAGATTGGTTCAGAGCAGTCCAAACCATTGTATGTTTGACCCCTAAAACATACAACTTTCTCATCTCACTGGTTGCCAAGCTAACGCAATGGTATTCTACCACTTAGTATTTGGTTTTTGCCGTTTCCTACCTACTCTGACAGTAAAATATTTTTTTTAGTGCTGCCATGCCTGACAATTAACTACTTGGAAAGAAAAGATATTTACATGTTGGCCAATAACATCACCTTGCTCCTGATTTCTTGCTACAAATTTGTCATTGCTAGGTTATACTACTACGATTGCCGGAGGCCTCTCATCAGGGCATGGTCACAGGGATGGACTGGCACAGAATGCTACTTTCTCGGCAGATTTTGAGCTTGTTTATGTCCCCAAAATTTGTGCCCTGTTAGTAGCTGACAGAGGAAATCGAATGGTTAGACAAATCAATCTAAAGCCAGAAGATTGTGCACATGAAAAACAGTCAGGTAAATACTGAATGGACCTCCAACTTGCTTTAACTTAATACTGCTGCATAGGTACTGTAACTTAGTAACTTATGTTTAGTGCTTGACTTTATTGTGTTTTACTCTGGCCACCTGTTATGTCAACAACATTTACCTGTCGTGGTACCAATGTCTTCCAATTTACAAATTTCATGCATAGCCTGAGATTATTTGTGCAGAAAGGCTGGTAAAATGTGCTGATTGTTCCAGTGTATACAAGTAGCTTTTCTTGATAACATGTATTCTGCCTTATCCGGATATGCATCAGGGTTTTTGCTCCATCATTCAACTTATATTTCAGATACTTAATAATTAGTTTCTACTAACTGCTTTGGGGATTCAATGATGACAACTTCATTTTTCCTTGTCTCGTATTTCTGGGCTCAAAACATTTTCATCTACAGTCTGTTAGCAATGCCTGACAGGTTTCATAAAAAAAAAAACAAAGCAATGCCTGACAGTGTTTTACTTAGAATAGTGATAGTGATATGGTGTTATGTGGACCCCCTGCTCCATTTTTTTTGGAGAAATCGTAAACATATACTACAGTGAATAGCCTATGTAGTTGCTAGTCTTGCTAACGGGTTTGTTGTAAAAGCTGTGACAATATCACACTGCTGATGTTCAGCTTATGGATTTGCAGGCTTGGGAACTACATCGGTGTCGGTCATTGCAATATTGTGTGCATTGCTCGGTTCAATTATCGGGTTCTTAGTTCGTCATTTTTACCCTGTCAATGTGAGTATTCTTCTGCTTCAATTCTTAATTCAGAGGAGATGAATACATGCACAAATTAAGACAGTGCAATCTGAAACATATAGGCAGGAAGTCTCCATCAACCACTTTTTCAGCAGGATACAGAAGCAGTTCCTGAGGACACAGAGGAAGGCAACTCTGATCAGCTTCTGCGACATAAAAAGCGCAGTTGCTAGCTCCATGGGCTACACCCTCCTGCTTAGACTGATCAGACTTGGCCGTGGCTATCTAGCCATGGTGTTCCCTAGTGTTAGGTTACAGAAAGAAGTTCCCTTAGGCCTTCTCGTCGTCGTCCTGAGTTACGCAAAAACTAGCACTGCTCCTAACATTGGTCTTAACAACAAAGCTCCCTTCCTCCTACTGGGCAACTGGGGGATCTGATAAGCTTTGCTGGAGATGCCGGTGATAAGGAGGGTAGTGGTAATGCCAATAGTCAGGAGGGTAAGGTGCCATCTTATGAGGGTGACTTGATGGGTCTTCTCTACATCCCACCTGGCAGCGTTAAGAAAATTGATCACATGATCGAGACCAACCTATCCGGCTTTTCAAGCCATGTGAATCGTCGTAGATTAACTGTTAGTGGTTGTAGTGTAAGCAGGAGGGTGCATGGAGACAAATAAGTTTATCTGAGCTTGTCATCGTCCGTCTTTGAGCCTGCGTGCGTGTCACCTAGGAGTACTGCAGTGGCAGAATAAATTTGTACTACATCAGCGCCAGCGCTTTCCTTGTAAATATGTAGAAGAACTTGGTGTGCCAAGTGTTGCTATATTCTATATGGTCATGGCATGTAATGTACCAAGTGTTACAGAACTCCTGGATATGCCCTTAATATTATATCCGTTGCTGTTTTGTGAAATGGAAACGAAGGGGCAATTTGTATTTTTCGAAAAGAAAAAGTCTACATTATCTTCCTCAACTTTCGTAAAAGTCTGCTTTTTCTCCCCAAACTTTAAAACTGAGCAAAATACTTCTTAACTTTTAAAACCATTCATCTTACCTCTCTGGTCTTATAAGCGTTTTTTAAGGTGATTTTGTCTTTTTCTTTTTTATTTATTTCGGTTGAATCTTTAAAAAATCATAGTAAATTATATAAAAATTATAAAATGAAAAATCTAATTTTGTTGGACTTCACACGAGTAGATTTACACAGTGAACATATAATATGGTAAGTTTTAGTAAAAAGTTTTTGTTGTGGTTTTAGATTTATGTTTTTCTGTAATTAATTGGAATAATTCAGAACTGTAGTTTCGATGGTTAAATTATGGTGAAATTTTGTATGGTGTGCTAATTATTGTATGCTTAAACTGTAGTAAAAAGAGTTGTGCATATAAGGGGCCATTGGACCGAGCAGGCTTCGCTTCATGGGCCATAAAAGGGGCCCGTTAGGATCGAATATATTCTCCTTCTTTGTCCGCGTTGGGCTATATATGTCAAACCAGAGTCTCCTCCCTCGACTCCGCTCGTCTCTCCCGTCCCGACGCGGCAAGCTTTTGTGCCCGGTTCGCCTCGCCGCCACCGAGAGTGCCCTCGTTGAAGACGTCGCTCACCGGTGGAAGCACAGGTACTGCCTCCTGTTCCTCCTCAGCCGCCGGCCACCCTCGGTCCGGTGAGCGCTCACCGGTGGAAGTCCGTCGATGCCCTTCGCTCCGCCGCCGGCCACCCTCCGTCCGCTCCGGTCATCGTCTGATCCGCTCGTTCGTCCACTCTGTTCGCAAGTGTTTAGATTTTGTTTCATCTGCCGCAGATTGACAATATGTCAAACAATCGAATAGGCGGTCACTCAACGAGCATGGAAAAAGATGACAAATATACCGAACGTAGTGGTGGACAATTCGACACTGATGTACCAATGTCCAAAGTACCCGTGACAGGTGAGTTGCTGATTCAGTTTGGGCACGCATTTACTCAACCCTATTATAGCAATTACAATTGTGTTGTACTCTACAATCCTTTTTAAGTAGGGAACTTGCTTTTCAGATAGTACTTTCGAAGAGGACTTTGGCACCTCCAGTGATTCATGCCAAGGTGCCTGGAGTAATCTGAGTAAACAAGTTGTTTCGAATTTATCTGAAAGTGTTGTCTCGCTGGCTTCATTCAATGGTGAATAAACGAGCTTTCTACATTCGCCTTTGTTTTATAACCAGCTCTGAACATTGAAATATGATCTTGTGATAGGAGGTGAATTGAACTGTGCGTGCACAGGCATGATTGTCACTTACGCACAAGGTTTTGTAAACATCCTGACTTCAGCAGATCTGCTTAGATCTCGTCATGATTCCAACAATTTTTCTTCCAGTATGAGGGTTGGTGCTACCAATTTGTTTGTACTCCATTACTTGTCTATTGAAGATTTAAGATCTCGTTATTAATTCTGTACATATGTTGGCTTTTTCATGGCAGATTAAAGTGTATTTTCCAAATGGGCAAGAAGGCAGGGGTTTTCTGAGACACTATGATTTGGATTACAATGTTGCTTATATGCAAGCCAAATCTTTTCCTGGTCTTCAAGAAGTATTTCTCGGTCCTCAATTGCAAATTGGGCCTCACAGCCAGGTAGTAGCTGGCTTCAAGTCTGGCAAATTATTGGCTGCAGCTGGGATAGTGACTGATGTGCCGACTGAGAAGTATATGACCTCTACGTGCAAAATCACTAGGGTGCGCTGCTGCTGGATTTCTGCTCTGGCTGAATCTATAATCATATTCAGTGAACTATATCTTTTGGCAACTAAATTTCCACTTTGATTACACAATTCTTGTTCTGTGTGACTTTATTTTGTCTGATCTTTATTTTTTTGTGCCAGTGTGGACTTGGAGGGCCTCTTGTTGATTTTGAAGGGAACTTTGTTGGCATGAACTTTTATAACTCGGAAGGGAATACATTCCTACCAAGGAACAAAATTCAAAAAATGCTTGAGTGTAATCTTGTACACTGTATACTTAAATCTATACATATTCAAATTCAAATTCTGAGCCAGATCGGGATTGAGGCTAGTGTTGGAAAGTACTTCATCAAGCACAATTAATAAACTACAGTTTGGGTCTGCCCTAAATCTGATGCATGTAGACCCAATTGCGGATATAGGGTTTTGGTTCCCTGTATGGTTTGGGACAGGTCGAGTGGCTGCAGATCAAGGCTTTACCAGTTGCATTGTTGTTTGTGCCTGTTGATTAGACCTTTGATGTGGTTCATGATTTACTATGCAGAGAGCCACTGAGCCAGGCCCCAACCACAATATCTGCCTGGACATGGCAAATTTGGCTAGGCTGGTTTGGTTTGTTGAGCCATAGTGCCACACACTTCTAACATTTATGAGCCGCAGTTTCTCAAATTGCATTATCCATGCTTCTCACACTACTATATATCTCACTTTACTATTGAGTTGGCCTGCATAATAATAAAGTAAATACAATTTCTCAAATTGCTTTGTCTTCCTTCGTTGTTTCAATTATTAGGTGCAACAACTTTGTTGACAAAACATTCTGTCAATATATCAGTTGTTCTCAATAAAATTACATGTCATCAAAATATCCTTTTTTCTTGAGAATGCAAGTACCCTCCTAAAAGGCATCTTAAGTTGAAAGTACCCCTACAAGAAAAATAGTTACATTTACCAAATACCCCTACAAGAAAAATAGTTGCATTTACCACTGATAAATTTCATCCACTTGCAACTATTTTGATGCATGTTGCAGAAAACTACAACTTTCAACGCATATTGCAGAATCCAACAACTATTTCGAGACTATATCATGGGCCCACCTGTTATGCACCATAGATGATGACGGATATGTCCAGAGTGACAAAGTTGTAGTTTCTTATATCACTTGTCAAAATATAGTCGCCGTAGACTTCTGCATTGGGCACCAAAAGTTGTGGTTTTTTGCAACACACGTCAAAATAATTAAGTTTTTGAAATTCACTATTTCTTTTCTGGCTCAACGTTAGCACATGTTAGGAGATATAACCTTAGGATGGTTTTACATGGAAAGAGGAGGATAGTGAGTTTGTTTAATATCGTAGTGTATCATATTTTTGTCATTAAGTTTCTTTTAGTACATCAGACAAAATTAGAAGTATTCTAAATCTTTCAATGTTCCTTCTAGCCACTTAAATCGACCACTCAAGTTCATATCACAGCAAAATATATTGAAATATTGGAACAAAAAAGAACCTTGAGAATGTATTTTGCAATAGGATTAACCTTGTGAGGGCAGTACCAGGAGGGCATTTCTGTTCTGGCTCAACGTTAGCACATGTTAGGAGATATATCACAGCAAAATATATTGAAATATTGGAACAAGAAAGAACCTTGAGAGTGTATTTTGCAATAGGATTAACCTTGTGAGGGCAGTACCAGGAGGGCATTTGCAATTTTGTCTTATCTTTTTCCCACGCCTGCATGGTGGGGCATAGAGCACATTACCCCTGGAGGCCTAGACAAGAATATTTTTTACCATTAGTTGCATTGCCATTATCTTACAAGGATTCATGATTCTATCATCAATAATTATAGTTTGAAATTAAAATTGTATTAAAAGAATTCAAAATAAGTCTGTTGAAAATGGTGATCATAGGTCACCGGCACTGAACCTGAGAAGCAAACATTCAATGTTATTGTTTTTGCCTATCATTGTACAATCGATTTGATGCTAACTTCGTGGAAGTAGCTGCGTTTACTACAATCTGCTGCAGGAATGCAATCGAGCGAGATAGGGCAATAGACAAAGACCCACCTGCAATACAGAAATATCCGATTGTCACTAGTGAGGGTGAGCAAAGCTTAATTACTCGTTAAAATGCTAATTTGTGTGCTGTCAGGATTGCTTTCATTATTTATTTTTCATAGTGGTGAATGATTAGTTTTGGGTTATTTTTTTTTCTGTCCATAAATATAGTTTATTATTTTTATATACATCTTGGATAGATCAAGAAGACACTTAAGCCTGTTCGTTTGTTGGTATCAACCAGTCCAAACCAGCCAGCCAACGGTGTTTTCCTCTAAAAAAAAAATAGCACCAGCCAGCCCAAACCAGCACCAGCACCAACCAGCGAACAGGGCCAAAATGACTAAACTACCTAAAAAAGTTACCTCTAGCTATATTCAATATATGCATATATAAGCAAGGAAATATTTCATAGGGTATGTAGGTAATAAGACGCTCATTTTTTTTGAAGTATAAAATAAAGCTCATATATAGTGCCACACTGCACCTATGGACAGACGGAATAGTATGTAAGAGCATCTCCAAGAGTACTAAATATTTTCTTTCTAAAACCATCAAATTTTACAACACCTAAAAAAAGTATTAGAAGTTGTCGGGTTCATAAACCTGGGGTCCCTAATGGTCCCGCTTCCTAGCAAAAACTCGGTTCAGCAGACGGCGTAGCGACAACGCGCGCCTCCCGGGCCGAGCCCAGATACCTAATGACAAGCCGGGAGAACAATCTGGTCCCCGACCGGAAGGCCTGGCCAAGGTGGGGACATAGTTCGACTCCGACCTCCTTTTCTGACCGGGGATACGTCGGACCTCTGCTAGCGGCTCTTCCACGACCGACACGGTCGGGGCCGACTGGGAACGACCGACCGGGGACGCCCGCTCGGTAAGGGCCTGGGGATCAGGCGGAGCAGATAAGGTAAGACGCTCAAGACAAACCGCAATACCGAGGACCGTATCCTACCATACCCTGCGTACCTGCAGGATGGTGCTACCAGGCCATGCCAGATAGGCACTATGCAACCTTCCAGGCGTGTTAGAACGCAAGCAGTATTGTAGGCGCCGACGTTTGCCATACCCGACGAATACGGTAGAGCCTGCCACATGCATCTGGACATAAAACAGTATTGTGGGCGCCGACGACCATTTCGTACCCGACAGCATGGGCAACAAGACTAGGTAGCACACGTATACATTATCTCTCTTTCTCTGACTTGTAAGGCCACACTACTACAGGAATCAATTTGCGCAGCGTGGCCAAAATGGGCTCCGTGGCGGGCACCTCTTTTGCTCGCCACGGTTAACCGGTAGCCGCCCAGTGAGGCCGGCCACCAAGGCGCCCACTGCGGGAAAAGGGTTTACCGCGGCGGGCCACCTTACTTGCCCGCCGTAGTAAATCGTTATTTACCACGGCGGGCGGTATGAATCGCCCACTGCGGTTAATACGATTTACCGTGGCGGGCACTTTAAACTGACCGCCGCGGTAAAGAGTTGATTTACCGAGGCGGACGCTTTATCTTGCCCACCGCGGTAAAGCCTGTACAAATACACAGCGCCACCCCTTCATCTTCTCCACGGGTCTTCCTCTCTCAAACTCATGGGGGAGGCTTTGTCCTAAAATTTGAGGAAACTTTTGATTTGAGTTGAAGGGCTTGGATTTGAGGGAGGAGGACATCATAAGAGGTTCATAAAGGCTCTCCCTCTCTCCTTCCATCCTCTCTCTCTATTTCCATCACCTAGAGTTCTCTAGATCTAGATCTAGATCTAGATCAATTTTAATGGAAAAAATGATGTCATGTATTTCTTTAACTTTAGATTCATCATAGATGCATGCTTCATCTTTCACATCATCATTTCCTCTCTTTTTCATGATTTTGGACGTAAAAATCATCAATTTCTCCTAATTCTTCTTTATTTAAAGTTGATTGTGACGAATAATGTTCGCAGGTATGATGGATAGGTTGGAATGGATGTACCGGATCGATAGAGTGAATGATCCGCGGTACCTCTTTAAATTAAGGAAGTTTATTGCTGCTGGTAAAGCTCATCGTGAGAGACTGAAGCGGATGACAACCATATGTCCATGTTCTCGTTGCAAGAACCAGAAAGCCCACCGAGACAGCGAGGTGCAAACTCATTTGATCATGTATGGTTTCGTCGAGGGCTACACAGTCTGGACATTTCACGGCGAAAGAGTTGGTGCGAATGGCGGTGCATCTAGAGTGAGCTCTTCGACACCAACGACGATAGCACCACCAGTGAATAAAGATCCTTTAGGAGCACCCGGCTCCTCATCATCTTCAGCAGCAGCTGCGCCAGCCGACAGTGACAACAGTTGTCATGAAAACAGTTGTTGTGATTACATCACGGTGGATGATCTAATGCAAGACATGGCCAACGAAGCCGGCGATGGTGGGGATGGTCAGGATACTGTGAGCCAACCCGAGGATGTGCAGCTTGTTGAAGATCTAGTCAAACACTTCGATGAAGACGACGTTGTGTTGGGTTGCCCAAAGTGGTTGGAGAATTTTAGAGAGTTGAAGCAGGCGGCAGTTGATCCTCTCTATAAGGATGGCGGCGATTGTCCGAAGGAGTGCACGGTGCTCCGTTTTAACCTCCATATGTTTATGTTGAAGGCTCGTCGTGGTTGGTCTGACACTAGCTTCAATGAGTTGTTAAGCTACCTTGCCACCACGTACCCAACGGCTAACAAGGTGCCCACCAATACTTATCGGGCCAAGAAGCTGATCCGGCCAGTGGCGATGAAGCTTAGAAAGTTTGATGCATACCCTAACCACTGCATCATGTATCGGGGCAATGAGTATGAGAATTTGATGAGTTGTCCGCACTATGGCTTTAGTCGGTACAAGAAAAATGCTGGTTGTCGCGTGGATGCAGAAGACGAGGGAGGCTTGCGGGGTGGTCAGAAGAAGAACAAGAAGGGGGCAAAGAAGAGCAGTGCGGCCAAACAGATCTCGGCTCAGCAGGACGATGAAGAAGAGGGTTACACGCATAGAAAAAGTCCAGCACTGTCGGTGTGGTACCTGCCCGTGACCGATCGCCTGCGTGCAATATTCGGGAACCTGAACGATGCCAAGCTCATGTCCTGGCATGCATCAGCTGACCGCCTGAAAGACGATGGCAAGCTACGGCACCCATCCGATGGCAAGCAGTGGAAGGATTTTGACGAGGCCTACCTGGAGTTTGGCAAGGAGCCCAGGCATGTTAGGTTCGCGCTTAGTACCGACGGGATGAACCCGTTCGGTGAGCTTAGCAGCTCGCACAGCACTAGGCCCGTCGTGCTCAC